TGCGAGGAGCACGTCCTTCGACCCAAGCCAGGGACGCTCCCGTGCTGCACTTCATGCCCTGTGGACACAGCTCACAGCTCCTGCGTAAAACCCCATGTGTCTCTCAGACCCCACGTCAGGGAAGGAGCCAGGCGTGTGCACGGCGCTGTTTCCACGAGGTTCCAGTGCAGGAATGCTCCCTCAAGGTGAGCAAAGAGGACCCCGTCTCCTCTGAGGGACGGAGGGGCCAGGAGGGACAGGAGGGGGTGAGGCTGATCACGGCCGTTCTCTGAGCCAGGGGGACATGGGGCCATTTGCTTTGAGGAAACGCCCAAGAGGTGCCCTGTGGCTGTCAGTTTAAATTTTTATCTTAAAAGTAAACTATCGGTTCAAGAAATCCATTTTTAGGGGAAAGGATCAAATGCTCATTTCACAGCCGTGGCCCAAAGCCGCTGTGATGACATCCGGACCCAACAGCAGGTGCGTCTGCCAGACTTGGGCGAGGCTGAGCGTGAGCCCAGGAAGAGGGCCACTGTGCTGCGTGTGGGAAGACGCACGGAGGGCGGAGAAGCCGGCTCCCCGGAGCGCTGTCCCGCCAGCTCTCCGGCCCTCGCTCCCCAGCCGCCTTCCTGCCTCGGGACACACGTCAGGTGACCGCCTGTCTCCCCAGGGACACAGTCCATGGGCACCAAATTTGTGCTGCGGCTGCATTTCCCGGACGGCCTTTTAAAAAGCGCTCTCCAGACCAAGCCCGCCTTCTGTGTCTCTCCTAGGAATCTGACGGCCTCGTGGGTAAGAGTATTAAAAATGCCACTTTTTACAAGTTGCCTTAGCGTGGATGAAGGGTGGGCGGGGGGTGGGGGGAGGCACCACAGGCTTGTCTGATGGTTCATGGGTCCCTCAGCTTCCGAGGGACCCAACAGAGGGTGGAGGTGTGGAAAGGACCCGTGTGCGCATCAGCGGATGAGTGGGCAAACCGGACACGGTGTGCGTCCGATGGGCTGTTGCTCGGCTGGGAAAGGGATGGAAATTCCAATCCGCGCGGCAACACACATGAACTGGCAGACACCATGCTGAGCGACACAAGCCTGTCGCCCAGGATGGACACGGGAGGAGAAGTCCCGCTCACAGGGACAGAACACAGACGGTGTGTGCCGGGGTGGGGGTGGGCAGCTACAGCCTGACAGGAGCAGAGTTTCCATTCTGCAAGGTGCCACGAGTTCTGGAGCATGCTGGGGAGTTCTAGCGGGTTCCGGAGAGCTCTGGAGATGGTTGCACAACAGTGAGTGTGGTTGGCACCCCCGAACCAAGCATTTGGGAGTGGCTGAAAGGTTGGATTTTTATGTTGAAAAGACAGGAAAATGCTGGAAGCAGATAGTGGTGAGAGTCACCGGACATCGCAAATGTCCACGATGCCTCCGCTGCGCACACTTAAGGTGGTTAGAGGGTATGTTTTACGTTACGTTGCCGCCATAAGACCAAAAGAGGTTTAAGAAAAGACAAAACCAACCTAGCTCTGAACAGAGGGGCGACTGGCATCACACCTGCAGGTCTGGCAACGCACGCCAACCCCTGCCCACTCAGGGCCATGACAGCCCAGGAAGTGTGAGTGTGACGTGCACAGACAGCTCGTGCCACTGTGACCCTGCCCACCTGGGGCAGGGGATCTACTCCTGAGAAAACGCCCCCCATTCTGCCTCTGAAAACCAAGTTCGCGGCCATAACTATGACAGGAGCCCTGCACATTCGCCTGGCATTTTTATGACATCTGAGGTTTTCACATGCGCATCAGCGTTGGGTGGAGCTTGTTGTGGGCCTAAAAACTGGCCTAATGTTCATTCCACAAACGTTTATTGAGCACCGACTTCACAGGACACCACACTGAGCTGCGAAGGGTGAGACCAGCCCTGCCCTCGAGGGGTCTGCGTCAGCTGGGAGAGTCAGACCCGTCAATAAAGGCGTGCGCACCACAGGTGCTCAGAGGATGAGCCCGTCTACGTCCCCGTGGGCCCAAGAGGCGGGGCGGCCACACGCTCCCTTGGGCCCACGCCCGCTGCGTTGAGTCCCTGTTAGCTGGGGGGGCTCTGCTCACAACCTGCTCCTTGAGTCCCCACCAAAATGGCCGCACTCCCTGAGTATGCGTGCCCATGAAGAGACACGCGCTTGCAAGGGGAAACCGTGTTCCGGGCCGGGTCTGTCCTCCTCGGGGGGCTCCAGCTCCGTCTCAGCCGCCCCAAAAGAAACACTCCTCCCAGGGGCTGGAGGAGGGGACCCCGGGCCGCCAGGCACCTGCGCGTCTGAGTTGAACGCCCCGAAGCTGAACAGCCGGGACCGCAGCTCCAGCTCGGCCGCCTTCTCCTCCTCCCGCGCGCAGTTGTCCTGCAGCATCCGCTTGTACTCCAGAAGGAAGTCGATGTTGCTGCTTCTGCCACACGGGAGGGAGGGGGCCACGGGACAGGTTAGTGGGATGCCCGTGGCCCCGGCTCCCGCGGCCCCCCACCCTGTCTCCCGAGTCACGTATCTGGCCAGCCATGCTCGGTCTGTGCTGGCGACCATGACTTTTCGCTGGGAAATGTCAACGCATGGGAACAGAAAGGAGAAAAGCAAATGCGCAGACGCAGCTGTTTCCGTTCCCCCAAGGCCTGGGTCTTCCCACCCTGCTGTTGAGGTTCCCCTCGCGTGCTGTGGGATGCCTGTCGGGGTCCTCAACCCGGCTCATCATCAGGACACCCGGGGAGAGGGGAGAGTGGTGGCCCCGCCTGCCTCGCCTGGGGAGTCTGAGGAGGACCCCTGGAGAGAGGTTCTGGCCCAGACCACCCCCTCCTGCTGCCCGTCCCACCCCGGCCCGGGAAATTGTGTTGTGGGGTGGGGGGTCACTGAGGGCTGGGAAAGGGACCGGCATCCAAAGTCTCGGAGGGGCATGGGCGCCCAAGGTGCCGATCTCGAGGCTTCTTATCCTCAAAACAGACGAATCTGTTCTGAAGTGGCATGTAGCTGGGCCTCGTGTTTAAAAAGTTTGCCACTTCTGGCCCAGAATACTGTTTGGAGAAGCTTTGGCATGTTTTTATAATGAGTTGATACAAAGCTCTGTCCACTGCATTCAAACCCCTTTCTCAAAATTGAAACCGCAAGCCGGGCTCGGTGGCTCAGCCTGTAATCCCGCTCCTTGGGAGGCTGAGGTGAGTGG